ATAAATTGATGATGAAGAAATGCTTTCAGAACATCGTAGAGTAGCTTAAAATATGAGTCTTTCAACACTGAACATTATGCCATCTCTAACTCAAAAAATAAAATTTTGGGAGTCTGCTCCTCACCTGTTCGTTCGTAGTACGTCCTCTGGAAACGAGGACCACGTGAAAGCCGGTTAGTCCAAAAATTGGAATGATTAAGAGCATTACCACTCCCATGAGTATGAGTCTATACCAAGATTAAGGATCTCATAAAATCGATATTGAATGTATAGATGTTTCTTTTGGCTGAACTTTACATCAGTTCTTCTCTTTTTTTTTTCTTCAACGCAATGAGAAAAAGAGGAAAGATAAACCGTGAAAGTTCAGCTAAAAAGAATAGATTTTATAATTGTTATGCTACATGCAGCAGCATTTTACTTTGAAAATTATTTTCTATGTAAAGGATACGCAACAATGGTATTAACTTCACTCAGTTGTTCTTTATGCTCTAGTAAGTAATATAGACAGAGCCCAAATATACTGAGCATGTGAAAACTGAGCGACACAAGAAAAAAGAAGAAGTATCTGTAATTCCTCCTACCAATGCAGTTGTTCACCCATGGGCAGTGATGATCAAATGTCTAAAAATATAAAATCAATCTCATTAAACTTTCCTCTTACAATCCTCTTACAATCTGTTCTAACAAACATTAACAAAAAGAAATGTACCTCGATACAATGATTGCAGACGCTGCAGTGTGAGCAACGTGGAGGTCGATAAAACTTGCAGGTAACGCACCACTTCATGCGTACAGTGATGCCATTGATCTCCACGCTTTTATATAATGGAGCTCGAAAATCATCTTCCCGATCTTCGTCAGGAGGTGCTTTAATGAAAAACCATATTGCTTCAGATTTGTGGCTGCGTTCCATTGCAGGCTTAATATGCATGAGATATCATTTTATCCTTGTTGTTCACAGAGTATTAAACAAGGATAAAATGATCATATGCATTATGCATGCAATGGAATGTAGCCTGTCTCATCATAAGTACCATAGTTCATGTAGTAAATTCTCTACAACATATTGGAAAGCTAATAAGAGGAAACTCTGCTCGACAAGAGTGAGCCGAGAGAAATACTTGCACGTAGAGATTATTTTCTCAGTCTTGCATGTATTATTTGAACCACGAAACATTGAAGCATTAGAGAATGTAATACATTAAAAAAACAAAGAGTACAATCCCTTGCCTGTATTCACAGTATGAACACATAAGCTTTGCAGTATGTTATATAGAGTTCACTAGTTTCATGTTTACCTTTTGGTATAACACCAGGATCCATAAACGTCGCCAGAGAGAAGTTTATCACCACGAAGAAGGTGATGACTCCTTGCAAAATCGGTACCCATAAGCCCCATCGAGAGACATAGTAGTTCCAGCACCTGTGAACGCGGAACATGTGAGACTCAAAGATATCCTCCGAGGATGAAGGAGGGTGCTCCGTCTCGACGAACGTGCTCGTGCACGAGTCACAGATGACGGCGGTGTGTGCGAAGTGGTGCGAAGGAGGAGAAAGAGAGGGACTACTTACGGGAAGATGAAGAAGAGTGCCGTGGAGATGAATAGAACAATCCACGCGAACGTAGCTGGCAGAGGCCTCGTCTTCACATCGCATTGCGGCATTCTGCACGCTCCGCTCTTTCGGTGGCACACGATCAGCGCGAATCACTGACGGACAGGATTTCTGCTAGCAGGAAATATGGCCGCGTCCATCGCGAGTTCGACTCACTTGCGACACGTACGGATTGCGGCAAGGACGGCCGCGCATTCTAGCTGCCGTTCGGACGTCCGTGACGCAACGCCGATGTGGGAGCCCTGATCCCGGTCACTTGCGTGTCATCCCGGCGTGAAACCTCAGCGGCTTTCTATCAATATTTAACGGTCAGCTCACGTATGGGTATCGGAGCGATGAGGAGCGACGAGCATACTACCTCGATGACATACATACATATATAGCGATGCATCTCGCTCCCTCGTTGAATCTCGTGCGGCAGCGCGCGTGTCAATCCCCTCTTCACCGTATTGCTCTGTATGTTCTGTATTTTGCCCTGCGTTTTTCTGACTTGCGAATATTCACCAAAATATAACTAATGGAAATTTCAGGGCGAATTTGATTTTTTAATTGTATTTGCATTTATTTTTTGTATATATATTTATAATATGTACTATATATAATATGTATTATAAACGTTATATATAATATATTTATATATTTATTATTCATTTTTTTAGTACAGTCTTAAGAAGTTACGAACCAATCAGGGTTACGTTCAAAATTCAAACTCTAGTTCGCGTCGCATACTCCAATATGTTCCAATATGCTCCTACTATAGCTCTTAATCCGGATCTACAATAGGTTTTTAAGCCTTAAGCCATAAGAAATGAGCGAATCATAATTGATTATTCCCCTCGGATTCGACTGTAATTGGTTCATTTCTTACGACTTAAGACTTAAAACACCTATTGTAGATCCGGACTTATGGTCCGTCTACAATACACGTAGTAAGCTTGGCTTAAGAAGTAAGAATAAGAAATTGACCAATCACAGTCGATTGTGAAAAGAATAATCGACTGTGATGTGATTGATCAATTTCTTATGCGTCGTCTACAATACATGAAGTGAAAAGTAAGGATAAGAAATTGACCAATCACAGTTCAATGTGAGAAGACTAATTGACTGTGATTGGTCAATTTCTTATTAATCAGCGAAGGGATATTTTTTACGCCACTGTAAATATCGCCTCGCTGATTGGTTGCTGCTCCGCTGCTTGACGTTTGCTGCGTCCAGTTTGAACTAGGCATTAAGCCCATGGCGCATACAAAAACGTAAGGCCGTAATACGTAAGCAGTAAAGAAATCGTAAGATTGGATTCGCTACTGGCCTTACAGTCTCTATCGTGATTGACCAATTCGCTTACTGATTATGTCTTACGGCCTTACGTTTTTGTATGTGCCATGGGCTTTAGGGCTGCGGCAGACAAAATTTCGGTAACAGTAACCTTAAGACGTGAACTTAAGCCGATGAGCCAATCAGGATACTGCTTTAGATTTACGTAATCTGACGGAAATAGAAATAGCAGTAAACTTATCCATAAGGCGAGTTTTAACCGGTTGAAATTCGTCTTATTGTGAGGTTATGGCTAAGTTTACTATTATTTCCATTTTCGTTAGATTACGTAGACTTAAAGCAATATCTTGATTGGCTCATCGGCTTAAGTTTACATCTTACGATCATTATGGAATTTTGTGTGCGGTAGCCCTTACCCCAGATCTACAATAGGATCTATAATAGCTAATGTTTTAAGCCTTAAGTCGTAAGAAATTGACCAATCACAGTCGAATTCGAGGAGAATAATCGACTATGATTCGTCTATTTCTTATGGCTTATGGCTTAAAACTCTATTGTTTATGTATCTTGACACTGGACGCAGCAAGCGTCCAGCAGCGGAGCAACAACCAACCAGCAAGGCTGGATATTGGCAAGATATTGTTTACGCCACTACAAATATCGCCTCACTGATTGGTTGCTGCTCTGCTGCTTGACGCTTGCTGCGTCCAGTGTGAAATTCCTTTGCCCTCATTGGCTAAGTTTCCATCGAGGGTTAGAGTTGGGTCAGAGTACAAGAACTGACCAACCACAGTCAAGCATTCCCCTGTCATTCGACTATGACAGGGGAATACTCGACTGTGATTGGTCAGTTCTTGTACTCTGACCCAACTCTAACCCTCGGTGGAAACTTAGCCATTGGTCAAATTTCAATCTTCAATTTCGATCTCAATCTTCAATGCGTAGTCTGATTCCGGCCTAATGGCTTGTTATAGAATGCGTGTAATGGCAGCTTAAGGCGCCACTCAAGGCGCATCCACACGACAGTAAAGCTAGAAACACATTTGCTGCGTTCAGCAGAACGTTTGTTTTGCAACTGTTGGAAGTTTCCTTCGCGCTAATTGGATCATACTTTTAGATCTAGAAGAATGGTCCT